CTGGTGTCTCTGGCGGGATGTCACTGGGCCTGGGCTCTGGCTCAACATGCTGTGGCTGGACAACTGCATCGGCAGGTGTCTCTGGCGGGATGTCACTGGGCCTGGGCTCTGGTTCAACATGCTGTGGCTGGACAACTGCATCGGCAGGTGTCTCTGCTGGGGTGTCTTTGGGCATGGGCTGTTTTGGCTCAACATGCTGTTGGTGTTGAAGGCTTGGGTTGGTGCCTGCATCAGCCAAGCTGGTGTTGTTGCTGCCAGTGCCAAGTAGTGATGCTTGCTCTTGCAGCCGCTCTGCTTTTTTTTGCGCCTGCTTTTGAACCATGTCATCCAAAGCTGCTTTGCCTTTGGACATTTCTGCCTCAGTGTCAGTGTCCTGTAGCACTCTTGAAGGCAACATATTTGAGATGTCTGGATGGTTGGCTTCGGTCTCCTCCTTGACACTGCTACCAGCCTTGGCTCAGGATTGGATACAGTCCAGTCCAGTCCAGTCTCAGTCTATTCCAGCAATCTGTATGTATGGCAGCATGGGTACAGTATGGGTACTGGTGAACTGGCTTGTTAAATTGTTGAATTAAACAAGTAACAATGATAATGTAATGAAATGAAATGAATTACAGCAAATTGCATCCAATGTGCTACAATCAGTTGTTGGAGTTGCCGACTAGCCAAATAGGCATCAATGCGGGTAGCATCGTCTATATCTTGTGAGTCTGGTCTGGGACCGGGACCATCATGATCATCATCTGAATGTGAGTCAGCAACAACCAATGAACCTTTCCCTTTCTTCCTTGAATTCCTTGGCCTGAACCTCCTGGATACATGGGAGAGATCACGCCAAGCTTTGTGTAGCCGTTTAATCTTTTCTGCTCTCGAAGCAACTGGTTCAGCATGTAGGTTGGATGGTGCTTCATATGCAGCCGCCATAGCCGCGGACTGAATCTGAGCCTCATGGGCTCATAGGATGCTATAAGGATTACATAGGATTGCAAGTGCAATGCAATGCAATGAACGGAAAAGTGAGAGGAGAAGCGAAGTAGAAGAGAAGGATTACAATTGGATGGAAATGGAAAGGACAAAGCGGACAAAGTAAAAAAACAATATACAGTATAAATAATGAAATAAGGAAAGTGAAAGTGCAACTGCAATTTCCATCAGCTTTGAATAAGTTTTAAGAAATGAACCACAACTGAGAACCACAACCCGCAACATTTGCCACATTCGCCTCTTGATCAGTGATCGGAGCTGGGCTTGCACCATTGTTCTCGACATTGCCGTTTGCTGCTGCCGCTGCCGCTTCAGCTGGATCCTCATCAGCATTCTCAGCAATATCAGCAGCAGGCCAATTGGGCCAGCCTTGGACTTGCTCCATGATGTAATTGATCATGCTGGTTACGCCGGTGCTCCTGCAACTTGGTGGATCCGCAAACAAACCATCAACGCACACTCAGGCACACTCACCTACAAATGCAAACTAAAGGCTAGCACTTAGCTTAGCACAGGCACAAATCAAACAAACATAAAGTACAAAACAACTACAAACACAAGAACACAATCCAGAATTGAATCCAGAAGTTGATCAAATCAAATCATATCGAGATTCATCGGGAAGAATTTCTGAGCAGTGTTCAAAGAGTGGAAGTCAGTATAGCCAACCAAACCGCAGCAAGCACGGAAGGAGACGTTGGTGGCCACGAGGGCTTTCTCGATCAGGAGATGAGCAGCAGGGACAAATAGCACCTAAGATGAAACAGAACATGGCTGGAATGGAACAGTGGAAGTCGTGGAGTCGTGGAAAAGAAAGTAGACTCAGGACTCAGGCTCAACGTAAACGTATATAAGCTTAACTAAACTAAACAAGTGTCTTGAGACTTGAGTATAAAATAGAGCTTGACTCTCATTAGTGCAAGAAACATCTCCCGGACTCAGCCATGCTTGCCGCAAAGACTGCAGCTCATCTGCAGCTTCTTGGGTTGCAGTTGACTCCACTGCACTGACTCCTTCCCGAAACAACTTCCATAGGTCATCTGCAGATGCAGATTCTGCTGGATCTGGTTGGGTGTGTTCAACCTGATTCTGCTGGTTGTGTTTGAAAAAGTTTAAGAACATGTGGGGAAGATGGTGGAGGACAGGACATCAATGAATTGACATCATATTACTGACTGTAACTGTAACTGTAACTATCTAAAATCAAAAAAAATGAATGGCCGGACCTAGCAACATCATAGATGTTTACCATGGCCATTGCTCGCGTGCCCTCTGATTGGTACACCAGATGAGGAAAAAGACCAGAAACCACACCACTGAAGGTACCTGTCTTCTTGAACCCCACCATTTGCAGCTTGCTGAAGTGAAAAAGGTCCTGCTTTGCTGTGTGTGTACGTATTTTGGCGGTCTTGATGCTGGCTTCATCTGCTTCAGCTTCATCTGCAGCTGCTTGTTCTTTGCACTTGAGAAGTGCTTGGGTTAGCACCTCACGCTCAATCAGCAAGCAGGGTTCCCTATCCTCAGCTGCTGCCTGATCATCAGCCTCTTCCTCCAACTTGCGTGTAAAGGGAAGCTCCAAGGATAAGGGATCCAACGCTGACTGCTGAGCTTGCTCAGACATAGCCTTCGTGATTTTGACCCTGGTGGCATCACTTTCAAAGGTTGTGGCAGCCTCGGAAATGAATGTTTTGAGCTCCGCTTGCAGCATGCAATTGGTGTTCAGTGCAGTCTTGCCACCAAGCCCTCCTTCTTCCAAGATCTTCTTTGTCTGGCGCCGCCTGGCCCTCCATATTACAGGATCACACTTCAAGCAGGCAGGAATGAACTTTGGCATTGTATCCACCACAGGCACCTCATGCCCACTGAAACGGTTTGCCAGGACCGGGTGGTCACTGTCAGTCAGCTCCTGAGCACCTTTGCCACGTCTGCGTCTTGCTCCAGCCCCGTTCTGGTCATCTCCATCCTGAGCCTGATCCTCCTGAGCCTCTTGCTCTGCTGCTTCCTTCTTCTTGCGTTGTCGATCTAGCTCTTTCTCTTGTTTTTTGGCCAACCTCTCAGCTTCCTTTTTCTTCCTCGCTGCTTCAGCCTCCGCTGCTTTTTGCCGCTTCTTCTCTTCTCGATCGGTTGCTCTCTCCTCCTCCAAGCGGGCCTTTCGCAAAGCATCTCGGGTTGACTTGTATTGCCAAGCACTTTGTTGAGCTGCCTCCACAATGCGCTTTCCAACTTGAATGGCTCGCATATGAACCCTGCCCTCTTCGAGCACCTAGGATGTCACATAAACAGGCACAGTCAGAGCCACAGTCTATATTAGGGTGATGGGCACTAGAATTGTACACTAGTGTCAGGCTGTCAGGCTGTTGCTTTTTGCTCGACTTACTGACAGTGACAGTGCTTCAAGAATTGAGCTTCTGACTGCATCAGTGGTGTCAAGCAAGGCAAAGTTACCTCTGGCATGATGCATGAAGCCCCAGGTTTGAATTGAGTCCTCCAGAATGCATGCATCCACAAAGTAGGAATCCTCCTGGCAAAGCTGGTAGATCTTGGAAACCGCCTCCTTGTTTGATTGTGCTGTAGTGTACAGCTCTGAAGACCAAGTCTTAAGCATATCATGCCGCAGCATGATTTCTTTGACCCGTGCATCGTTGTCTCGCTGCTCCTGGAAAGAAACCCGAACCAAACAACAAAGAAATCTAGAAGCCTCTATGATTCTATTCCTCGGTGACTCGGTGACCAAATGTTTCACAAATGTACAAATTGTTCTGTTCGTTCAATCCGCAAATAATCTCTCCTCACAATCAAAGTCGTCAGCGATGAGATTCATCGTATCTCTGCAAGTTCCCAAGGCCTTGTTCATCTTAGTCTCCAAACTGCAGAAGTCTTTAAGGGTAGCTTTGCGGAGTTTGGTAGCGGCAACTACCGGATCGGAAATGTTCTTGATAGCTTTTCTCAACAGCGGAAACTCTTCTGGTTCTGCTGGTGGGGCAGGCCCAGGCTTGGTGCCCCTAGGAGTAGGTCTTGCCGCAGCTGCAGCCCCATGTATTGATTCAACACCTCCCAGTCCCAGTGCCTGCTGAGAAGTAGAAGCAGCGCGCACGGACCCAGATGATAAATCAGCATCTTCAAAAATTGCAGCAACTGACTGTTTCTTGAGTTTCTCTGCTGTTGCTAGCGCAGAGTCGGAGAACTTGGATTTCTTCTCAACTCGCATACTAGCGGAGTTGTCCTGCAACAAACAGCTAACCCTCTCTCTCTGTCTGTCTGATAAAAAAACATGCTGAGTGCTGTTATGTTCATTGGTTCATTTGAATTGATCTGCGCACCTGATAGTCAGTTACCTTGGCATGATCAGCAACGTGGACATACATGCGCCATACCTGAAGAAGGGCACAAGTCTCATGGTGAGACTAGTCAATTGGAATTAACACACAGCAAAAAAGAACACAACAGCAGCAATGGTAGTCAATTCAACTTGGGACTGCTAGGTTTCAGTCTGAGGTACCATTCTACCGCTTGCAACTCCATTGCCATCTAGACTCTCGACTTGATCTTTTCGTACTTGTTGTGATGCCATGTCAAGGCTCCAACGCCGCTTTGCACCTTCTTGCGTTAGCCCTCAGATGTTCTTGAAAATTAGACCAAGCATACATCAAATTAATTCAATTGCAAATCCAACAGTCACAGCCCCACAGTCTTTACATCAAGCCTAGCAACTTTGGTAGGATGGAGCCTTTTCGGTGTACCATTTCAAATACTCTGGCCAGGCCATTGGCTCAACTAGTTTGGTGTCCTCATAGCGGCGGCCGGTTTGGTTCACACGGTCGACCGATGTAAAGTCATAGTCAGGCGCTTTTGCACCTCTTCCTGTAGCGTTCTCAGGCACCCTCAGTAGAAACAAGGTGTTAAAATTTGTGGTCTTTGCATTGCTTGCATGGAGTCTTACATGGCATCCATAAAGAGAAAACACAGGCTGAACTTGAGTCTGAGCATTACCAAGCAACCCGTCGCAGAACTTTTTTAGGTGCGTGAGGAACAATTCCTGGGAGATATGTTCAGTGCATCGCAGGGCAAGAAAGTTACTGTAACACATCAGTTCAACTTGACATATGATACACATGCTTTTGTCGAGAGGCCTTGTTGTTAGCTTCCATTTCAGCCAACTCCTTGTCTTTGCCAGCTCGCACAGCTTGATCCAGGAACTTCTTCCGCTTTGGGATATGCTTACCACAGAGTTGCGTAAGCCTCATGACTCATTGGCAAGACGCAACATTGGGCAAGAAACAACAACATCATCATCATGACTTCATTTCATTGACTGGACTCCACACTCTTTAAGTGTCTGACACCTTCATGCGCATGATACATAGAACCAGACAAAGCTCGCAAAGACACATCCCCGGTGGAATGATTGGAGTTGGAGAATCGGCCATTGACAAAGCTAACATGCCCTCCGGTTCCTCCATGACCAGGCAGCAGGCACTTTCACAACCAGAGTTGCTAAGGTCACTAACTTGTTTGCTTGGCTCAAAAAGACTAAAGCACAGCATGGCATGCATCAAACATAGCATGATTGCATTGCCAGTGGCTGCCAGAATGAAAGAACACTTGATGATGTATATAATGAAACGGTGCCACACATTTAGTCAGCAAACATTTACTGACAGTCGGATGGCAAGCTGGCATGCTGTTCTCTTTTGCGCAAACCTTTGGGCAAAGAGTCAGTAACAGGTGAGATCTGCACTGACTGCACTGCACTGCACACAAAATGACACCAGCTTGGATGGAACGTGGACAGGCTCTCTCAGCAGTCCCAGGCTGAGACTCACTGAAATTCACACTAGAAATCTTGTTTGAGACCAAGACCCACCTACAGCAACAAGGTGCATACACAGACCTAGAATGACCTAGAGCTAGACTAGAAGCCTAGAAGCCTAGAAGAATAGAAACACGCAAATGTAATCACATGTCCAGTTCTTCATACCCAGCCCAAGAAAAACGGTCAGATCCCTGCTGGTTTGCAACTGCTGCTGCTGCTGCTGATTCTGTTGATGCATTCTCCACTGCGGCTAGCGCATCAGATTCTCCACTGCCCTGCTTCGGTGTGCTTGGTGTCCAGGTAGCAAGAATGACAACCCAAATAGTGCCGCAAACAGCAGAGTGCATGGCCTCAACTCAACTATCCCGAAAAAGTACAGGATTCAGTATTCAGATAGTAGAACAGTAGAACCACAAACAGACAGTGGACCTGCGGACATGTGACAGTGAGTTGCAAGTGGAAATCGCACATATACAAAATCAAACATTTATATATATATATAACATTAATATATAACTGTTCATCTTGCAGCTATGGGTCGTTGCCAGCAAGCTTTTTGATATTCCCCGAAGACATGGATAGAAAGTCAAATGGAGGATATGAGCATCCGTTTGCCAGACAGGGGTAGGCAGGGACTCCCATGGCTGCCAAATGTTCCTGACAACAATCAAATAGCAGGGCTGCAGGCTGCGGCGCTGCAGCGGCAACAATAAGAACAATATGGAAAGACAAGATAAGTAAAGGTTAGGTTAAAGGGTGTTAAAGGTATAGATAAAGTAGGTTAGTAAGGGACACATCAAACGAGGCTAGAAAGGCGTTACGGTCCTTGGGGAATAAGCAACGTTCTTCCATAAGGGCTGTTTCAGGTAGATGAGGATTGGCCAAGCACCACATGTTGCCCTGGCGCAACAGTGTCGGGAGCAAACTTGAGCAAATCAACCGCCGCTTCGGGTTCTGATTCAGGTTGCATACAGCACCATGGGAGCCTTCAGGGCGATCTGAACTAAACAGCGAAAAAAAGATTCAACAAAACACAGAAACAACATCAATCACTGTCACTGTGAGACCAATCTAGCTTGGTACCTTTCTCATGCCAGATCTTTTGAACCTTATCTGATTTCTTGTAGAGATCCAGCCAGGTTGGTTGAGCTCCTGTTGCACAGTGACACAGTCCGCATGTCCAAGACTGAATGAAATAACTGTCATTGTCATTTGCAAATTTTGCAATATTACAATGCGTCCTGAAAGAAGCTGCTGAAATGTTGAACTGAGTGACCTATGGAATTTGTGTGCCAAGTCCTTCCGCATGGCTTCAATCTCATCCTTGGACCAGTTTAGTGTGTTATAATTGCTTAGTGCTGTTTGAATGTTCTGATACAGGCCAGTCCAGTAAGTCCAGTAAAGTACTACAAACAAACTCAGAATCAATAAGACATCTGACCGAAAGTGTACTGACCGACCGAAAGTCTCTATCGGCTACCATATGTGCCAACACACTCATGTTTGGAATGCGGTACAGCTTGTCTATGGCAGCAAGGCCCGGGTCAGCCAAAGCCCCGGAATCCTTCTTCACGAGGACAGTGTAGAGCCGCGGGCGGTTCGAAGGCCACCCAAGGTATGACTGCGACATGAGCCACAATCTCCGCTGTTTGGTTCCTGATAGGTCTCCCATGGCCTGCGACTGCGAGCAACTAGAGTCACTAGTGTTTGACTAGAGTTCAATTCACTTCAGCAGGATACTCAAATCTGGCTGCCTTTGGAGGTTGAAATCCAAGCGCATAGTAATGTTCCCCTAGATATTTTTCCAGGAGGCTCCGAGAGAAGCGAGCAGTGCATTCATGCAGGACAATATCCTGAGCGATGTAATAAGGAAGGAAATGCAAATGCCCCAAAGCCCCAGATGTAAGCTGCCAAAAAGCAACAGACCTTGCTGTTTTTTTCCTGACATATATAGATATATTATATAAGCACAATATAACATGTTATTTGGTCAATTTCAAATGTCTGGACGGACGGCCTTTATCTCGCTTAGCCAACATGCGAATGGTATGCAGCTTTGACCAAAGAGCTCTTCTCTTGCACCCATGCTGCTCCAGTCCACGCATGTGGTTCCCGCACCAAAGATTCTGAGAACACGTTTACCCATCTTCTGGTCATCCTTCATCATCCCATAAGGTGTCTTACACACCTTCATCAAAGGTGTTTCAAGAAGGCGGTGTATGGTATGGTTCTCATGATTTGGCAAACAATGAACAATGAACCAATGTCAATCTGCTGGAATTGCCAAGCCTTGGATTTGTGACCCATCTTGTAGCACTTCATAGATTCTAAGAACTGGGTCTCATCATCTAGCACCTTCATGTACTCATCCAGAAGTTTCTTTCCAAACAGTTGCTTCAACGTCCTGCAATGCTCGGTACCTTCCTCCACATTGAAGGAACCTGAAGCAA